GGACCAGAGTGCCACGTTTCTGGTATCGTGCCCATGGCTCTCCTTGGCAAGAACATTGGAAACATTCAGGAGTACAGCGGTTAAATCAGGTGTTTTCTTTGGACTATTGGGAGAAAAATAAATATAGTTAAATCGGATCATTAGAGAAAAAATATCCTGGCTTTCTTTTTTCAAGCGAATATGGAATTCATGGTTTCTTTCATTATTCAGAACTAGTGATGGTTTATGACAGATTAGGGGAACTATCACCCTCAATTAGATACATGTAGCTTTAAGATACCCAAAGATACCATGCCTTCGAATTATTGCTACTTCTACCGGTTGTAATACTGGTAGATGGTTAGCTTCATGGATTATCACCCGCTGTTGATAGATAGTTGAGGTCTATTAAGGTAACATGACGTCTTTCGGCTACGATCTTATTATAAAGATTTTCTTATGTTGACAACACGCCCGAAGTGGTGTATTAGGCTATATTACTTACGCTCATCGTCTTGGCACCAAACCTTAGCTCACACATAAATATGACGTTCACATATATCTCATTGTTAGATATACAGCTAGCCTTGGCATTGATTTTAAGACAAACTTCAAGATCTCGAAAGAGGACAATAGCGCATCTAGCCATAACCCATTTAACACATGTACATACAAAACCTTCACGTTCACACCTTGTACCACCGCGCAATGTCTCTATCCCGCATCTGGATATCCCTCTACCCCCACCCCTTAAAAAAAAGGCCTCATTTCCATTGCATTCCATCCCATTCCGATACAGTCACCCGTGTAGATAAGGTAAAAAGACGGTCAAGAAGCTCACCAGCCACAGTTGGTATTAACTCGGGGTTTTTATTATTTTATTATTCTCAACACCGGGTGACATCCCTCGGGCCTCGGTCCACCTGAATACTCCGATCCTACACGAGTTCATCGGGAATAGGGCGGGTGCTGGCGAGCTGACTGAGGACAGAGTAAGTACATGAGGGTACTTTGGTACATGTGAAACCTTGGCGTTCACCGGTTGGTTGATGTATGTTTCGTTTCGGCCCGGTCATGGGTGGTCACTCGGGGTAATTTCAGCTCGTGATGTAAGTCAGGTATTTTAGATACAGGAACAAGGAACAACGGGTATGATATAAACATGGGGACCATCCCTCATTTCTTTCGCGCTATTCTACTCTATCAAACTACCGATCTTGAATTGTGTGTCTTTTCCAAAAATGCGGTTCGCCGATCACCTCAACCATCAACCACCAACGATTTCCTCCGGGCAAAAGTCTATCAATAACATCCCCCATACCAACCCTCAAGGAAAAGGTTATGGAGATGCGGGGAATCGAATCCCGGACTGCTTCTATGCTAAAGAAGCATTATACCCTAAACCACATCCCCATTGAAACAAACCGGCAATATATCAAACTTCAACTTTTTTCAAACAAACCTCGAAGAATTTTAAGCATAAAATCCGTCAATGGAGCCCTCATAGATTCTCATACACGATTGCAGCACCCGAATTACTAATTTCTTAAAAGTCTTGGCACAAAGAATACTGAGTAATGTCTATTATTAGACGAATATTACCGCATGCGGATATAATGTCGGGATCCATGTCTTTCTCGTATTCATCAAAGGAATTAAGATAACTGTAGCATGCCGTGTTGGATGTTACTAAACATTCACCACGACCGTATGATAGTCGAAATTAACGTGGTACAGAGCCAGCTCGACTTTCGAGGGTGGGGACTCAGATGTTGGATGAAAGGCCCGTGAGCTCGTGCCAAGGTCAATGATTGGAATGCAGAATATTTGGTGTAGGATGCAACAAATGCGTAAGTACAGACCCGAGTGATCAAAAAAGCCGTCCAATTGGACAAAATAGTTTGAATTACGTTTGCCGTTGCATTGCGGCGATGATGATGACGGTATTGTGGTTTCGAAGGCGCCTTGAGGTGGGATAGTGGGGTTCGTAGATCGTTCGTAGATCACTCGTCTCATCCTATATATAAGTGGATCAAAATGCATAAGGTGTTAAATGATACACTTAGACTTGTGTATTTAAATATTTCAATGTCCAGTGAAAATTGAGGATTTATATGATGATGTTTTAATGTGGTACACGGAGCCGGGGGGGAGGCAAAAGAGGCTGCCTCGAGGTGCGTCCGATTCAAGGAAAAACCTTGCTCTATTCAAGAAAAGAGGGGTGATTCTTTGAGCGCTGAAAGCTTTCAAAGCAGATATAAACTATCTATAGGGCAGCTAGTGATCTATAATTACTGTTATAGAAGCCACCACCCCGAGTTTATCAAAGCATCGATGCATCCAGTGTACAACGATAAGATGCATGACCCCCGTGACTTGACATATGTCATAGGTGTTTTATATCGTGGCGATGCATATGCGTCGGGAAAGCTAAGAGGATTTCGAGTTGTCCAATTCTTATTATAGTGCGTAATTTGAGGTTTTTGTTGGAAATATAACTCGAGACCCGGGGGTGATCATATATTCTCAGTACTTAGAAGAGTGTCGTGCGTGTCACAGAAGTTTATGCGCAAGCCGGCTAACACTTGTTTGTAGTGCGTTCTCCCCCTGAGACAGAGGCACCTTAGAGATGTAGTTAACATGTTGCATTTAAATACGTATACATAAGAGCCACGCGGCCTCATGGACCACTGTGCAGACCAACCGATAATCCGGATCTCTAATTATCTCCCTCTCCATATTCACTCCCGATAAGTCACCCGGCCCCACTCTAATCTCCAATACACAGCTGCATGCTATCCAACCACAGAGATAAAACAATACCGAATACCGTGAATTCTCGGCCCGGCCCACAGACAACACTGGTCTGAGCTGATTCTAGCTTAGATTCAAAACGACCTGCCCGACCCCCTACAGCTGCTCAACGGGCTATTAATGAATTAAACAAAAAAAAAAAGGCTGCTCAACGGGCCGAAATTGGCAAGCACCACATCCCGCCGCATCGACATATCGATCAAGATGACAAATAAGCTTCCACTTCGGTTTGCAGTTGTGGGCTTTTTAATTTAACGAGTTACTGGTTCGTTATTCTATATTATCGAGTGAGCGGTAGAGATGTTGACCGAGTAGTTCTAGCTGTCCGATAATTTTAACGTTTGATCGTTTTACAAGTAGCTAGCCTCAACTTTTGTAACTTCAATATCCAACATTAACACCTCAAGAATTACATAAGTTTATCCTCTTTCAAGACCAGGCCAAAGCAGACACCAAAGTCTCAAAATGCCGCCAAATGTCTGAAATAGCGAGACATCGTCTACTAAAAATCTAAACCCTCCCGAATCACAAAATATCAACCTCAGCGTCGGGACCCTATTTTTAGACACCCATGATCTCATAGAGCCTAGAAATCCCAGATATTCTATATCGTGTCGATACTCTAAATTAAAATCATATAGAGTAGGTGTATGCCATCAATTTCCATAGTCTCGTGGGTCGTACCTGCCTCGAGTTGAATTATTTAAGTTGGGCTCATACGGCAAAACAGGTATGCAGCCTGCACATAGCCTGCATCGGTGAGCAAGAGCTAGAGAACATGGCGCATCGACCATGCGATGCCACGAGACTCTACACCCGTTTCCTCGTTCGCTCTCGAAAATCAAGATATTTAGAGCAGTATGTGGCGGCACTAGTCTTAAATAGACTAGCTAGACTTGCGGTGCTCACCTGAAGGGGCGCAACTTGCAAGCCATCGACGCCCTCGATCGATCCAGGGCTACCCTATCTTTCTAGAATTCGAGCTAGAGTCTAGAAAATTGATAATATCATGATTGATTCGTGAGGCGATGACGAGGCATAAAAAACATGGTCAGCGGGGATGGGGATATGAAGAAAGAGTAAATGAGCGGAGGGGATGGAAACGTTTTTCTAGAGCACAAACAACGTGAAAGAGAAGAAGACCTAGCAACGAGGCTTAGATATACTAATTCGCATGGAAAACCGGCCACTTCTGCACCATTCGCATGACGCGCGTATAATGACGACACGGGGTCATCTTTGTCAATGGACAGAGATTCGTTCGTAAACGATCTGTTTAACGACCCCAAAGCCTCTCGTGGAGCCATCGGCGATAAGGGGGGCTAATGATTGATTCGCGGACATCATGATTAACCACTACGAGTGATGATCCGTGATCAGTGCTGCCAAACATTCATGGACAGTCACTCGCACCTGATCCGAACGGAGTGGTGGGGGTGTGTGGTGAGACTGTCTAAGCTTTTTTCTGTCTATGGCCGGATAACTACCACCACCGACGCGAGGGAGGTCTTTCTTTCCGTCGGTCCATGAAAAAATATACCAGGTGTCTCCGAACACAGGTACGATCAACAACCCTACCTTCCAAAACCGCAGTGCTTCCGGGTCATGTCTCCCTCCCCGCACGCCCGCCCGGAGAAAGAGCCCGAAATCGATCTTCTTTTCTTCTTTCTTTCAACGATGGGATGGAAAAGGTGAAGTGTATTATTGTATTTATAGGCGGCTCGAGATCGACGAAGGAACATACATAGTCACACCTTTAGTAGGTTCGCATGCAGGAGCGGAGATATCCGTGTCTATTGATATGATGACGAGCTCCACATGAGTGCGATGTACTCTAGTTTGTAGAGTACCTACTCTAGATACATACAGAAGACGAGTCGATCGGTCTTCGAGGAGTTTGGGAGATTTTTCTTGTAATGACAACATGTATGTAGCTTATTGGGTTTGGCAGTTCCGGGATACGGAGGTGCGGAGTAGAGTAGAGAGATAAGGCTGGCCAGCGAGTGAGCTATTCGTGGCTCTGGGTTCCTATGCCCGCTTAGGCAGAGTAAACCGTAGATACTTGTGCTCTAGAGTGGCCAAAGTACTCTTCTGCAGCGGCGAGGTGAGAAGATACTCTACCTCTCCTGTACGAGACAAGACATGTACAGTGGTTCCCGCTGGGTACACACATCCAGTTATCTTTTGTCTTGTCGCGTCACCAGATCTCAGCCCTCGATCAGGTCAGGTACCCACTCCACCATTTTCACTATCTTATCTGCATCCCGAATGAAAAGTGCACTTTGACAAGTTGCTACAGCAATCATTACCCAGCTACCCAAACTCAGCAGTGGGGATGGCATGTAGGTACAACATACATACATACATGTACTCCAATTCACACATCGTCACTCGCCTCCCTCGCTCGCCATGCTGAACCGAACCGAAAACGAACACCAACCCCCTGTTTCGAAATGTCTTACGCGCCCGCATTCGGCCGAGGAGCGCGCCCAATCTAGCCGAAACGAAGCGAGGGCGTCCTCTAAAGGTCTCACGACCCGACCACTCACTGCTGCTGCTGCAGCAGGATGGTAGTTTTTATTGAAACACGGAAACAATCTGATTCTTTGTCTTCGAGAAACCTCTATGCGAGCGAGGCAGAGTTAGAGTAGGCATGTAGAGTTGTAGATAGGGCGCCCAGGTGCAAAAAAAGGTACCTTCCTGTTTCTATGGAACAGGGGAAGGGTTGGTGTTCCTTGCATTGCGGCCGGCAACGGACGGAGGTTTCAAGGGCAAAAGCGGGTTTGGTTTGGTTTGGTTTGGTTTGGTTTGGTTTCTTGAGTAACGGGACCTTACTTGAGGCTCGGTATCGACTTGCAATTGGCTGAGGGGGCGGAATTGGCAACAAGAGTGGTGGACGAGTGAGGATGTGAGGAATGAATGGATGGAGAGTAAGATGTACTAGTTAGCTACTAATTACTTTGCCACTCAGGGGACGTTAATGAGCAAAAAGAAGATGAATCTCAAGTACGTAGCAAACGTTCATAAGTGCAGGTAGGATATCGGTACTGTTTGTAGCTGACTGCAATATGCATTGAATTCATGGGCCATGGCTGGCTGATTTCCTCGCTCGATACGCAACCGCAGACTCGATGCGGACTGGGCGGCCAGGGGTGGTGCTTTTGGGAGCGTCGTTAGCGCCAAAAGTTTAATGAACGAGAAAAAAAATCTATTTTCGAACACACACCACCCTCAACCACACATCCCAGGGGGATTGTGCTGCTGCACACACACACCACACACGTCGCCGCGCGCAGAGGAAATTGCGATTGGGCGAGCGCTATCCCGGGTGCGGTGCGGAGGTGGCTTGCAGGTGAGTGGATGGTAGGTGCATAATAATGGACGAGCCAGAGCAAAAGATCAAAGATAGATAAATAAATTTTGAACGGTGTACCGTACGTACCTAGACAGGTAGCTGGGTTTTAACGACATCAGTATCTAGACGTACTCAAGAGTAAAGTAAAGGCGTAAACGAGTACTTCTAGAGGCACATGCACCTGTTGCTGCTACGCACGGTGCCGCCTATAGGGAATTTCAAAATCTGTGTACAGCCAGAGATACATAGAGTAAGTACTCTATTCTACGAGTCTACGAGGGTAGAGTACATGTAGGCTACATGATTGTACCTACATACCTGAGGTGCAATCTAAGGAACATTATCAATGAGCCTACTACTTGACATGGGGAACGGTCGGTTCGTCTCAATCTTGAATGGAGAGAGTACTAACTCCTATTTCATGCCTCATGCGTTCCCTTCCACCCCCCAAATCCCAGGCACTCAGCCGTCATCGATCATAGGCAATTGAAAGGATTACATATTTATTACAGAGTGACAACGGATGATCGCGGCCGCAAAAGAAAACGCTAAATTTCCAACCCAATTAATTACATGTATTATTGACGAGACCGGCTTCAGCCCAACAAGAAAGACAGGATTTGTGTAGATTTTCCCCACACTCGCAGCAGGTACAGATAGACACGTTAAAAGTTTGAGACCCCCCAGTAACTGCATTGTCTTGTTTGACAAAGGTTTCTTAAGAACATAGTCTTCTATAAAGTTGTGGTATTTCGAAATTCCGTTTCTTCGGGCTCTCGATCTCCATTCTGGTTTAATTTTGGCTCTGTAGTAGAGTTACGTAGACCGACTCTAAATACATTGGGACGGGTCGCTGCTTGCGTCGTTCAAGAACAACAAACACCACGGTCACAGTCTCTCCTCCCTGACTTAGCATAGCAAGCATAGCAAGTAGCAAGTAAGCAAGCAAGCAAGCACAGGCATACAGTGCACGGCAGCAGTATCAACAGCAGCACCAATTGCCCCCTGTCCAGAGGCTCCCCCCCCCCCCCCCCCCCGGACTATCTTTTTTCGTCCCATCTCCTGCCTGTCCCTGTCCCTGTCGCCGTCACGCTGCTGCTGCTTGTTCACACTCCGTCTGGTGCTCCCCCCCCGCTGGTACGTTCGTTCGTTCTCTCCCGCTCACTCGTTACAACCTACTCACTTCTCTCACCACCCTTTCTAACATATTTGCTTGTTAACTTACTCACCCCCCCTCCACCCCCCCCTCATCCCCTCCTCTCTTCTTTTTCTCCCTCCTCCTCCCTCGTTTTTTTCGCTTCCTTTCGCTCGCTTCATATCCCAGGTGACCGTCCATTACGGGGGCTTCTGTCCGGTACAAGGAGATCGGGTGTTTGTGATAGACCTCAGAGAAGGACTCACTGCCAGCCACGCTGTCGGATAAGCCTCTCAGCCTCTCTTTTTAACTCAACTCAACTTAGGGCCCCTTCCCGCCCAGCAGCCCCCATACCATACCATACCAATACCCTTTCACTGGATTGCATTGTACGTACATGCATCGCCAATTCACGGTTCGTTGCCAATACCACCCGCTTGCTGCTAATGCATCCCGCTCTGCATCATTATTATCCTCTCTTCTCTTTCTCTCTCCTACTACCTACCTACTACCTACATACTACTGCCCTCCAGGTCAGAGCCCACTGACAAGGTTCACGTTCGCTTTTTCTATTGTCCAACAGCTAGTTCCCGGCAGCCAAAAGGAAACAACCCGTTCACTCTTTTCGAATTCCAACTACTGCAACTCAAAACATAACCATTCGACATCGTACCGGAGTACCGACTCGGATATCACAGCGACCTCGCGCCCGCTCCTAGGCACTTGCAAATAACTACCTACCCGCTACTACAACTATCACTCGGGGGAAAAAAATAAGACGCCAATTTTACTAAAGAATAATTCATTTATTTTTTTTGATAATCAACTATTTCTGTCTTATCTACTGCTACTACTACCCAACACAAAAAAAAGGAAGATCAACTATTCAACTTTTAGTTTTCTTCACTCTCTGTTCTTTATTCTTGCTGATTGCCAACTCAATTATTCTGTGTGTATTGTATCTTATTCGGCAAAAAAGTCTTACAACTTTCTTAGGGGGGAGGCGCTACTGGAACAACGCTTCATCTTAATTTAGCCATTAATAATAGAATCTGGTTGGGGAACTTTTGGGGAACTTTTGGGGATCAATAATCGGTTTGACGGAAATCACGAATACAAACGACTTTTTTTTCCAAAAAAAATCATTCCCCGTCGGTCGGCAATCTGTGTCCCAGTTCTCGTACGAGGTTACATTTGTTTAAGGCTGGGGGAAAGGAGATGGGGGTTTCAGCTGGGAGGGTTACGGTGGATGACGGAGAGGGCATGGGCGGGATCGGCATAAGAGCTGGGAAAACTACAGATGACGATGAGGATTTGCGACTGGATTATGGGGACCACGGCGGAGGAGGAGAAGGAGGATTGTTGGAAGGGGAGTTGGAATATCACCAAGCAATTGAGAAAATCAGGATTATTGAACAGGTTCGGGAAAACTTGGCCTACACACGACCCTCACGACTGCAACCCCGACAAGTGGAGAGTGGTTCATCATCAATAGGTGCGGTGGCTGTAGGACTTCTAGATTCCGTGTTTTCGAAATTTTCTGACATTCTGGAAGGGGCCTCCGATGCTTCAATAGTTTCGAACTCGATAGTAGTGTCGACAACCCTAAATTCGATAGGGTCATCAACAAGCGCTTTGTTGGATACTTCCTTGACTTCGGTCCCATTAACGAGCCTCCTTACAGATGTAACATCCTCGACTACGCTGCTGACAATCTCGAGTACGAATTCTCCTCCTCCGTCGCCAGCGGAAACATCCGCTGGGATGTCCATCCCACCTACAACAAGTTTAACGTCATCATTATCATCATCAATTACACCTCGGCCTCAAAATACAGGTTCCTCAACTACCCGGTCTTATACGACGATCACTTCCTACTTGACGTCGCAAACATCAAGAAATAATGGAACTACAACAAGTAAGTCAACGGGACATTGCATAGGCCCTATTGTTTTGAGGAGGTTCTAATGTTATTTTTGTAGGTAATACTAGGTCCACAGGTTCAACGACCCTTACCTCATCACAGCCTAGTGCGTCAACAGTTACTGTTGATGGCACTGTTATTGTTTACACGTATTCAACAAGCACGCAAGAATTGAGTTCTTCCTCAAGCACTGGTAACAGCTCCACCCGAACATCCACATCTTCCGTCTCATCAAGTAGCTTGAACAGCACAGCCACTTCAACCACTTCTTCCGAGTCGCTCGCGACGTCTTTACTAGGATCCGGGACTGACATAGCTGAAGGTGGAGGTGGTGGTGGATATGTAGCACCGACAAGTAGTACTTCTGCATCCGCAGTTCCGACATCAACAACTACACCTTCTGATAATAGCCCCCCTGTAAGCCCAAGTCTTCTTGGAGGCGTTCTGGGGGGTGTAGCAGGAATTGCGTTCATACTGGTGGCCATATTATATTTAGTACGACGACACAAGAGAGCGGTTGCTGCACAACAAAGAGATGATGCAGGGTATGGTGGCCCGCTAGAAGGGGCCGAGGGGGATCAGATGATGCAAAGGTCAGGTGTGGCTCCTTTTGCCCTAGCTGGGTCATTTTTCAGGAACCCACGAACACCTCGTGTCAGTCAATCTTCCGACACACCCACAGTACCCTCAACGTCAGAAGTGGGCTTCTATAAGGTCTCTGGCAGGAAATTGGCACCGGTCCTTGGTGGTCCACGCCCTGGATATGGCTCCACGCGGTCTGCGGGAGGATCTTCATATTACCCTGATGATGATGGAATAACAGTAGCTTCGACACCCAGTGTAATAGGACCCTCGAGATATTCGTCAATGACGGCTAGCTCAACGTCACCAACCGGCTCAACTGCTCCTATGAACTTTTCTTCAGCGGTACCACCTGCACCACCATCAACTCATATGCCGCCACATATTGGCAGCTCGATGGCGCCTCCGCCACCTCGAATACAGGAAGAGGCCGTGGAGAGTGATAATGAATCTACAGACAAGCTTCCTAGACCACCGCCATTCCCCAGACAATTGAGTGCAGTCAGTGTCGGGAGTGTTGGCAAGGATGGAGTGGGTAGATCATTGCCATCACATGATGGTTCACGAGCCTCGCGGTTTACTGAGGATATCGTGTAATAAGGTACCTTTTTTTGTATCGTCTAATGTTGAAAAGTTAGCTGGCAGGTTGGGGAAATGCATGGAAGAATTTGTGTCCCGATTGCGAATGTCCTTCGAGTGTTATTTTTTCTTTTTATCTTTCTCTCTTTCTTTTATGATACCTTTTTCGATTTGCCTGTAGAGTCCAACCTTCTTGGATAGGCCAGTACTGCTACCATCTTTTTTACTATAGTTATGTAACCTTTAATGTCTTCAGAATTCGGCGTCACGTTTTTTTCTTCTTTCTTCGGATTCCCCCATTCATACTTCGTTGTACATTTTTGAGGTCTTTGTTACTGTCTTGCTTGCGCCTACACAGCCTACAGAGAGCAACTAGCCCTGGGCCTGTATGTCACTTTTTATTATTATTGCATCTTTCTCTTCATCTTCGTGTTATAGGTTTCTTTTTTTTGGCTTCTCGGTCAAGTCAGTCATTTTTCTTTCATTAATATGCGATCTGGAGTTTGTTGATCTTGTACTACTACTACTACCCACACCCACCTTTTTTTCTAGATATGTAGCTAGCTCATGGCCACCAATATCTCTCTTTCTTTTTTCTTTTCTTTCTAGCTACAGTTTTTTCTTTCCTTCTTTCCTTGTTTCTCCCCCCACTTTGGGTTTTGGATTCCTCGTAGGATTCTTAACATGTCATTGTGCACGTGTGGGGGAGCTAGCTGTTACTAAAAGCTTAAGTTAAGCTAGCTAGCTACATGTACTTGCTATAGGCCCAGCAGGCATGCCCTCTTCTTTTTTTTTGATCAAAAAGTATAAAGCATGCTATTTTTATTTTTTGACATTTATTGTGCATTGGGGTTTCTATTTTTATTGTTTTTTTGCTTGCTGTGAGATGTGCTATAGCCCTTTTATATATATATACCCATAGGTGCGTGTTTGTGTTGTACTTTATGGTTTTTGGGTTTCGAGAAGAAGAGGTGGAATTTGTAATCCTGTGATTAAAAAGATTTTGGGGACATATCGTATGTACACAACTTGTGTTCTTTTCTTTTTTTCTTTTTTGTTTTGCTTGAAATTATGGTGCTGGAAGGATGCATATATAGGGAATACAGGACAGGACAGGATATCAGGATATTAGGATTTAAGGACATTAGGATCATTAGGATAGGTCATTTAAGGCATGATTGGGCTGGATAGAATATCATCATGCATCTTTGAATTTCGTGGGGAAGGGAGTGTTTATTGGCCCATTGGTCAGTTTCTGCCTAACTCACCTTAAATTTGTCCTTCCGGAGAGGGAAGGTGGATATGATGTTGTGAAGTACATTGCGACGGTCAACCAGGTGACTGAAATTTGGCAATACCAGAGGGAATACCTATGGGAAACCTCCAACTGGTTATTTCACCGGAGGAGCATACAGTTATGGGCTCGCCGGACCTACATATGTCGTTCAATATCACTAGGGCTTCTTCTCGTTAGAAGATTCGTACCCGTTATTTCCAATTGGCCCAGGCAGTACTGAGTAGGTAGATTGAAGCTGAAGCACCGACAATCAATCCATCCGTCCATGGACCATCCATCCATATAATCCATCCGCACTCCACAAAATTGCAAGGTCATCCCAAACCATGAGAACTCAGTTGGACAAGCAAGCGATTATGTACGTTTAGTTTAGTGCCCGGGGAAAGCTAGAGGCCCGCTTGACGATAAGAACAAGGATTTAATGTAATCGATCGTGTGCCGTTTCCTCGGGCATCCTGAGTGGTTCGAAGGGTAAGTGATAGTGCATGCCCGGTGGTGGAGGTGGTGGTGGTGCGCCTTGTCCAGCACGTGTGTGTATGTACATGTCGATTGCAACCGCCCCAGACGTTGGCGAGCCAACACATTAATTCTGCTTGTGCAATTAAGTTCGTTGAGGAATGTATTGCTGCAGTTATTGTAATAATGATCAATGTGGATTTGCTGGCAGGGCTATTTTCAGAACTATTGTTGGGCGGTTGGGGAGGAGGAATATGAGCATGAGGAGGGGGGAGGGGAGAAAAAGAACTACTGTGCCTTTTGCTTTGGTCGCGATATTCGTCGGGAGTGATAGAGAGATCGATGTCCGTTTAGACTGAATTCTTCTTTGGTTTCTTTTGCCGGGCGAGTGAAGAGCTTTGACTGGTGCTGGATGATGGGAAATGACGTGTGGGCCCATGCTGCGGTTTCCTTTTCCCTAGGATGTGGGCGTTTGGCGGGTTGTGGGATGTTGGTTGGTGGTGGTATATCTAGTGGCTTGAAGTACTGCATAGTGCTTATTGAAGAGATATCTGTTAGGTATTCATTATGTTTAGTTTAGATCTATGTAGTCAAACGTTTAGTGGTCAAAGAGAATACTCTCGGCCGATGTCATTATCATCAAATGGTAGAAGATGTCATTCCACCGACATAAGAGCCATTGCCAAGCGTGTCCGCCTCATCTTTTATGCGCCGCCTATCAATGAGACCACGGGCCCAAAGATGGAGACGAGGTTTAAGGAAACGGATACTTACCTGAGTGGCTTGATATCGCCGCAAGGAAACACAGGTTTCATCCACATAGAAACAACGGAGGAGAGCCAAGAGCATCACCGAAGTTGATCTACAACTGGTGGATTTAATCTTATTTGTAGATGCAGTGCCATGGCCTATATGCTGTGATCCGGCGCCCTTGCAGCATATTATTATTCACGTCATGACTGTAACCCTTGGCCAGATGTGCGCACATTGGAGCATTAGAGTTGATTGGATAGTCACTGTCATGATTGAGCACTTTTTGTGTTTTGTCAGCCTATCGGAAGAACGGTCTGTGAATCACGAGAGGTACTTTGCATATTCACCAGTTGTCACTCGACACCGCCACACAAATCGATCCAAACAAAGGATTTCATTTTTTTATGCTTTACATATATATGATGTATTCCAATTATAGAAACGAATTAAACTCTATACCGGCTGTATAAATCCCGGCCAAGTACTAACTAGCGGATCAGGATTATTGAAGCCGGGATATTTGCTGGTTGGATTGGCGAGGGTTGCGGGTGATAGATGGTGAAATGATTACAAAGCAGCATCTCGCTACTGTATACCCGGGTCCCTGATGTTCCGATAAGGCCTCGGCGGGTACAACTACATGTAGGTAACTAGTTAATTTGATGTTAACAATGCATATTAATTGAGTATGGCATCTCACTCGAGATTATTTCATTCAGAAAAAGCCATGTTTTCATTATCTTAAGCCATTACTCACAGAAAGAAGAGATTGCGGCCGTCCTCCGATATGATACCACACTCACGCGCGCAACGAAGACAGAATATGTGTAGGCTTGGCCTATCACACAATTTAGATCGGATTAGCTAGGTATTGCCTAAGTTTCCAATGGTCCCGTCTCGAGTTTGCTGATGATGAGGCAAAAATATTGTAGGAAATGTATGTACGGTTGGAAAATCAGTACAGGAGTAGGGGGTTTTAACTTTGTCCACGCTAGGTGGGCGTGGGGTCCTGTGGATACTGCTGGGTCTATATACCCAGGGGACAATTTTCATCAGAATCGCACCAATATTTGCAGCTAAAGCATTTCTATGGAGCAGGAAGGCCTTTGCGTCGGGGGGTGACGATTCGTTCAAAGGGTGCTGAAAGGCCGAGAGTATGAGTTAAAGACTCCAATTGTGACCTTAAAGATAAGTACTAGTATTACGTGTTCTGATGGTCTTCTATGCCATTTTCATGTGAGTAAAAAAACAAGTGGCCTTACGTGAAGAAATAATATAATGTTCTAAGCGAGTACCAGTCTTATTGCTTTCTTCCTCGTACTACATACCCACCATATTCCACGCAACATGTCGTTCAGTGAACTCCCCAATGAGCTCGTTATCGAGATTGCTCTTCTTTTATCTACTGCTGGTGATTTCAAGCGGTTTGCCTGCGTTAACCGTAGCCTATTCATACTTCTAAAGCCGATTCTCTTCAAGAAATTTGCCCGGACGGGTGGAAACCTTATCATAGCTCTCTATTTATCAGCTATTACTCGGAACGTAGAGAATATCTGTATATTGCTCGAAGATCAGCGCTCTGAGATCCAATATCCGTATACTAATGGTCAAGACTCAAGGCTAAATGAACTTCTTACTAAGACCGCAAATATAGATAGGGTCGCAGCCTTCTTCATAAAATATCACCGTCGTACCGTTATAGTTGACAGTGCTTACGGACGTTCGCCACTATTCTGGGCGATGGTTGAGGAGCGTGATGATCTATTCACCAAATTTTTAAAGATGGGAATAGGGATTGATGTTGGAGACCACATGGGACAAACGCCACTCGCCTGGGCGGTGAGGAAGGGGCCGTTTGAAACATGTCGACGCCTTCTAAATGCTGGAGCGATTATGAGTAGAAAGGAAGTTCAGAACCGATTCACGCCGCTCCACGCTGCCGTATATTATCGCTCAATAGATATGGTCAGAATGGTCCTCGGGTTTGGTCCTAATGTGAACGCTCGATCGCGAGTCGGTCGAAGCCGAGCGGGTTATAGGGAATTCTCACCGCTCTTCATAGCTGTACAGAAAGGCAGGAAGGATATGACAAAACTCCTCCTGGAAAATGGCGCTGATCCACACAGTTTCACCACCGAGCCGGCTGCTCTGGATCTACTATTTGAGTGTGGTACAGATGCATATACAAGTTCTGGGTTGATAGGATACATGCCCAGCCCTCTTAGGTATGCCATAATTGAACGAAAAGTTGACATCATCGAGATGCTTTTGGGTGGTCAAGTCGATAGCCTGGATTATATCGGGGCGACTTCACTCCAGCATGCAGCTTGTGACGATGACCCAACTGTAGTCGTCTTTCTATTGAATATTGGTGCGGATCCGGACTATATGGGATGGCGAGGCTACACTGCACTTAAGCAGGCCACTATTGGTGGCTGTTTCCTTACAATTATGGCCCTGTTGCAGGCAGGAGCAAACATAAACGCACGCTGTAAACGGCGTGGGCGAACCGCACTTCACTGGGCTGTAATCAAAAGCGGTAATGCTGAGCCAAGTATCGGAGTGTTGTTGGAGAGAGGCATTGACACTGGTATTCGGGACTTTCGTGGGATGACAGCTATAGACTATGCAATGGAAATGAGGTATTACAGGGCGTTTTTAAAGATTGATGTTGCTGAAGGTCTCAGAGAGCGGGCGAAACGCTATGGCCTTACCTGAGAAGCAGGTCTATAGTATACGTACTGGTTTTGTATACTTGCACAATAGCATTCTAGTGCCATTTTGTATCTGGTACGGGCAGAAACCTCATGCGTTGTCTGTAGGGCCTGTAGTCAGAGGTATTCTTATGGCAATGATGTATTGGTTTATGGATATTCAATGCCACTAATTCTTTGTACTTGTGAAAGTCTAAGTACTTTTCAACAGCTTATGTACTGGTACTTGTATTCAGAAGGCTCACGTAAACATTCGTGGGGCTTGATATGGATGGCGTTTTACAATCCCTTGTGTTCATTTCCTCCTTTTTTGCATTCAGATTTCCTCTCCAGTGCAAAAACTATCAGAAAGAGCCCACGGCCAGATAAACCCCCCCCCCCCCCCCCCCCCCCCCTTCCGGATCGATTACTAGTCCCAACATCGCACCCGCCCAAATAGCCAGTCATACATTCTCACTCGCCCACCCCAATTACTCATTGAAAAAAAGCCCCAGCCCACCCGAGAAGATATCAGTAGAAGTAAGTCAAGGACAGCATCAAGCCATCATCAATCAACCCATCCACCCCCCCACACTCAGAAAGAAAGAAAGAAAGAAAAAGAAGTAGATAATACACAGATCAAAAAAAATAAGATATAAAGAACCTAAACCCTTACCATAGCGAAAAAAAAGAATGGCAAAGAACTGACCCATTACCCATTCCCGTAGAAGAAACGAAAAAAAAAGAAAAAAACCGAAACCTCGTCCTTGAAAATAAAAATAAAAATAAAATAAAAAACAACACACCAATGTCCAGTTGTGAAGTCCTAACAAAAGCAAGAGAGAGAAAAAAGGTCCAGTGCTACACGTAAAGTAGCATGAAAAGTCGAAGATAGGGATATGTAAAAGAAGTCCAGGGGGGATTAGAAGTCGGATCAAAGTAACAAAGTCCGGAGTCCGGAGGTCGTGGCCAAAGTAGTAGGGACCACAGCCAGAGAGTAGTAGGAGTGAAATAGGAGTAACATAGGGGGGCTAAGAAGAGGAAGGGGGGTAAAGGATAATACAATTAGATCCCGCCCAATGACCTAAACGATCAAACCTTCTTGCCCGTTCTCCTCTTCCCAGCACCCCGCTTTCCGGTAGTTTCAGAGCAGAGGGGACAGAACCACTTCGCCTTTGTGGTCGCCTCTTCTTCTTTCAGGCCGACGCACTCGATATGGAACCAGACTTTCGGACACTACGGGTGCGAGCCCCTGCTGTTAGTTTTCCTCCTTTTGATAACTCTCAGGTAGAGTGCGGTGGTAAACAAGTACGCACGCAATGTGTGGTGTAGTGTGGTATCATGCTCAGGGCTGATATGTGTGTAGGGCCAAGGCTAAAGGGAGGGGGGGGGGGGGAAGGGGAGGAGTGGTATCATTGATAGTAGCAGGGGAGAGTTGGCTGGGTACGCAAGAAGGAGATAAAAAAGCACGAAATAAATCAACACCACAAAACTAACCTGAGAGTTCTCGCAAGCGACCATAGTCCCTCTCGAAACCTCATCGCAGAGACAATACCTATTAAGATCTTCTTCGTCGTCATCCACCCATTCCTCCTCGGCCCCACCCTCGTCTCCGGGGGTAGTGGGCTTCTTCCTTCCCCTTCCCATAAGGCCCTTTTTTCTCGCCGTTGTGGGAGCGGCTGCAGGTGCAGGCGCGGCCAGGTCGCGTTTTGACCGTTTGGGGTCCGCTCCGGCGGGAGTGGTGGTTGATGCCGCACGCTTATGGCCAGGTTTGAACGTGGGAGGGTTCTTCGGGGGGCGGCCAAGGCGCCGTGGCGGGGGTGCGTCGGCATCCACATCGGGCATGTCCTCGTCTGCATCCTCGGTGGAGGAGGCCTCTACAGACGCAGTAGTGGTGGACGTAGAGGCTGTGGTCCCAGTGCTAATAGATGCGCTACGCATCTTGCGGCTGCTGGCGGCCACGATGGCGGCGGCACGTTCTTTTTCTTTGACCGCTGCCTTCTCACGGGCCTTTTCCTCGCGGAGCTTTTCCTCTCGGGCTTCACGGGCAAGACGCTCTCTTTCAACTGCCGCAGCAGCGGCGGCGGCCTCCCGTTCTGCGGCTTCGCGGGCGGCACGCTCACGAGCTTCTCTCATAATGCGTTCTTTCTCCTTGCGCTCTTCCTCTTCGGCCTTTCTGACATTTTCTGCTTCTACTTCGCGCTCTTGGCGCTCTCGTTCCGCCTCGCGTTCCTTTTCCTTTCGTTCCTCTTCCCGTTTTCGTTTTTTTGCGCGGTTGAGGCGCATGCCCTTATTCTCGCGAACGCCCTCGCCGTCGTCGGGTGCGATCTTTTCGGGGTCCCCGATTCCACCGTCTTCGGGTCCATAGATCTTTAGGAAGTCCTCGCCGAGGCGGCCTTCCGTCTGATCTGTGAACATATCCTTGTGCTTTGGCCCTCTGCCCAGTGACTCAAGCTCGCGAATGATCATAGTGACACTGGGTGTCCAGCCGGCATTCTTCTTCATGCGTTTCCGCAGGCGCGCCAATTCCTCATTGGTGAGTCTGTTCCAGGGGAGAAGATGGCTTGGGATTGGAGTGCCATCTTCGTACCGTGCCTGTGCGCCACCAGAGAATGGAGGGTCGGTAGGAGGTTTAGGGCCACGTTTGATAGTACCAGAGGTAGGCTTCTTCTTTTTTGGTTTGGCGATAGTGTCTGGCATATCCTCCCAGTCATCTTCGTTATTGGTGGGAGTCGGGGGTGGTTGTCGCGAGCGTGGGGTGGGATTGTAGCTGCGGCGACGTCCTCCACCCCCGCGTGCTGTCGGAGCTGGTGTACGCTCGTTGTTGAGGCGGAGTGTGATCTTGTAGTGTTGATCATCGGGCTTTTCCTTGACTCGGGGCTTCCGCGGCGACACGGGGGTGGGGTCGCGGGAAGGTATCGTGATCTCGTCTAATTTGGATCGTATCGCGACGGCTCGGGAGTAGTGGCGGTCGACCTAGATGGAATCAGTAGAGCTCAGCAGGGGAAGGGGGGGATGTGTACGTTCTGGTGCATTTTTGTAGCCTCCGCTGCGCTCTCCTGACGCGCTCGGAGGGCGGCGTTCATGGCGCGGGAGATCCTCAGTCGCAACTCCAGCTCCTTGTCCGTTACCGTGCGAGCAAAGCCATTGGATACGGGAAGCTCCGCCTGGAGGGTCCTGAACTCCTTTGTGAGTGTTTGGAGTTGGGCCGTGTAGTAGTCATATTGTTCGTGGAGGGAGTTGATGAGTTCGAGGGAGCGGCGAATGTCGCTGGGAAGGTATTCCGTGTCTAGTCCACTGGTTAGCGGAGGTTAGAAGAAGAGAGGCGAATTGACGAGAGGTGAGGATTACAGTCGACGAATTCTCGGGCCGTTGCATTTGTTTCTGGATCCTCTTCCGTGTCCTCGGATTCGTGGGGGAGCAATGCTACCACGGAACCAACGTCTGACATATCTGAATGAGAGATGGAGTGGAGGGCGTAAGAATGTGGGGGGGGTGAGTATTTATGTGTATGTGTGTATGTGTGTGTGTGTGTGGGGTGGGGGGGGTGGGGAGAAAGGAGTAAAGGCTGGGAAAGGTGAATAAGAATATCCTCAGTTGATGGGCTGTCCTGTCTTCAGTCTGTGCCTGAGCTGCAGCGCGGGGTAAAGGCTCGAGATTAGGGCCGAGTCCGTCGGGAGAGACGTGATGGCTGCTGCGGTTGTTGATGTGTGAACGATGTGGTGGGAATTGCCTAGCCCGAACAGGCCTTAGGGCGTGGGGGCGCTGGGCGGGGTTAGGGTTGTGGACAGGCTGCTGCTGCTGCTGCTGCTGCACGAACTGTCACTCGCGGGCAACACCAAGACCAAGGGGGAGGAGTCCCCTGGCAGTGGCAGTTGTGAGCAGTGAAATAGAGTCAGTGGCAGTGGCTGGAGATGGGAGGGGGACGGTGTAATGTTGTTTGGTCGTGTGTCGATACGAGGTTAGACTCCGTGTCTGTCTGCGTACTGCATCACAAGACTGTGTTGCGTCTTTCAGAACCAAGCCTAATTTCTCTTGCTTGCCCTTTTGCTTTGAAACAAGGCGCAACAACCGATGGAGTCACCAGCCATCAATTGAGGCTGTATCGGTGGTGGTGTGACGTCTGAGGAGACGGTAACAAGACGTCTTGATGGAGACAGAGAAATTTCTCCTTCTCTGCTATGGTGTTATCCAAACCAGGTATGCACGCAGATTCTCTCTGAATATTGATATCCCTCTGGTATTCCTGAGACCTATATGCATGTAGGTAGGGTAGCCAATACTCTCCAGTTCTTAGGTGCCTTATGATATTCCACAGGATAATCCAATTTCGTGATAGCAGCAGGGGCGCACAAAAAACTTGTTGAGAACATGAGCAGTAGGATCCTGAACCCGATCAGCAAGTTGGCGGCGCAGACGAGGTTTCTGCACCGATCGTTGGTTAATTATTCTCCGTCTGTAGCGTCTTGTCGTTTCTTGGCCACTCTTTTGAGGCAGATGAGCCAGAGTTGTTACTTTTGGCCCACCCAATTGTTGCTGCTCTCGGACATGCAGAAGCACCCGCTTCTTGGCCTTGGATTCTGTCGCGCAAATAAGGAGGTTCTGCGGGGTGTATGGGATCGATGGGTGAGAGCGTGTGCAACCCCCCCAGTTCCTTTTCATGCACGCGACGCCCTGTGCCTGCATGAACCCTAACCCGCGTGGCGTAAGCTCTCCCACCACCAAGCCGGGTAACAAAGAGGCCACCTCGTCGGCAGCTCCCCTCGCAGACGTCACAGTTCCCCAACATCTCAGTTTCGTTTCTTTGATCAATATCACCAATCATGAGGTTCTGGTCAACCTCTCCCGCGCTGTTTGCGCTATTTTCAGCACTCGTCCAAGTTTCAGCAGCTGCAGATGCACCGACAGCCCCCGAGACACCTGGAAACAGCGACCCCCCATGCACCGCGACGTCGCCCACCTCCGGGAACTTCTTCGATCTCCGTCCACTGATCCGGACTACGGAGAAAAAGACTCCGGATACGGACTGGGTGGCTAAAGGCCTTGACTACAACGCCAATTTCACAATCAATATTTGCGCACCGGTGCTGGCAGACGTGACGCAGGTGGAAGGCATCAAGGGAGATGCGAAGAAGAACGTTAGTGCGTTCTATGAGAAGGACGGAGAGATGTATTCCATCGGGTTTGTCCTGCACGATCTCGCTTATCTGGAGGTATGTCTCAGCTGACGTCACTAGGAGCGTATCCACAGACCTCCACTTCAGAGGGAGGAAGCTCGTTATCGAATATACCGACGGCTCGCCCTGTCCTGATGCCCCGAAGCTACGGAAGTCGACGTTGATGAGCTTGATGTGCGACCGGGATATGCTGCAGAAAGCAGCTGTCTCGTTTGTGGGTCAAGCGAATGAGTGTGCGTATTTCTTCGAGGTCAGGACGGCAAGCGCGTGCCCGACAGTGAAGATCCAGGCGCTGGGGCCAGTTAGTGTATTCGGGATCATGTGAGTTTTGTGTTTACCCGCTAGAGATGGGGGTTGGTAACTAACGGTTTTTGGTAGCGGAATGGTTGCGGCAATAGTCTATTGCGCAGGTGGTTGTATGTATCAGAGAAGTGTGATGCATGCGCGAGGATGGAGACAGATACCGCACTATCATGCGTGGGCGGGCGCTATTGGGTTCATATGGGTGCGTTTCTTGATACCATTCAATGTCTTGCATTTGTTTTCCGCGACGCCTCCGCAGCCGAGTGGGACGTTGCCCAGGTAGAGCTGCTGGATAGCTTTACTTTTCCTTTTTTGCATAGATATCACTATATATTTCACACATAGACTCGTAGCTCTTTTTTTGTTTTGTTTTTTGTTTTGCATTGATTTTCATAACTGCATACTGCTTTTTCCTATATCAATCATCAGCAATGTACACTCGCTAATAATACATCTCCTATAGAGCACAGCCAACACAATCTGGACCAAATTCATCGAATGCCTCCCCCTACCATCATCCTTCCGGCGCTCGCGCTCAAACTCTGGATACGGCCGTGTAGGCGGCAGTGGCTTTGGCGCACGGACCGTCGCCGGTGATCGGATTGGCGGCGGCAGGAGTTCAGTAGACGATGAAAACCAGCTTATCGATGAGCTGGATGAAGACTGGGGTGATGAGCCTTAGATCAAATTGGACGTGTGGGTTGTATATCGGTTAGTATGGTTCGGACTTGGGTTTCTTTTTGTTATTGGCAATTGGCGTTCCTTTTTTGTGTTTGATGTTTTTTTGTTTTAAGGGAAATACCAGTGTTTGGCTTGCGCGTAAATTTGTTGCGCAGAGAGTATATGGAAGCTTCAAAGGTTAGAGAGAACAGGAACTGTACTGTAGATCAGGTCGGTTAGGTCGAAATTGAGCATTTGAAACATTCATGGGCTCTCACTCGGTGCTGGTGTCACGACGCTTGGCTAGACCGCTTATCCACAATGAGTGGTGCTAGCTAACCAGGGTTCTATAGATTGACCGGAACCCTATTCACACTGCCCGTACGTACATGATTGGGTTTATTGTAGTAGGTCACATTCAATTGCGTAAGTGCATGAGTGCGTGCTCATGATGAGGAATACGTAACCGAGTGGGACATGGTGATCCCGCTAGTATTCACAATAAATATACTTCATAGCGAGCTCCCTACACTTTCTCTCCCTTTCTCTCTTCATGATCGCTATCTTCTATCTGGGAATCTACATGTAGTGGTATTAAAATACACACTCCATCGATCCCCCCCAAACCCTAGGACTCGCTTGAGCCCAACCTCTTTACCCCCCAATCTCCTAGTTCCGCAAAAGGCGTCGGAGGAGAAGCAAGAACATTGCTACTTCTACAAAACAACTCGAATATCTCGGGCTGTTTGCTCCTCCCGCCTATCCTCCTTTCTTCTTCTTCCTCTCCTCGCGTTCCTTCTCTCATTTCCCCCCGCTTTCCACTGCAAGATCTCCGGACGAAACATGGCACCACCAGGATCGAAAGGAAGGCATGGTCTGCTTGCGCTGGTACAGCACATAAGAAGTGGGTGTTTTTTTCTTTCCCGATTATAACAAAGTAATTAGTTACTGATGAGAATTTCATCGTGGCTATTAAGACCAGCTTCGACTCCGCATCAGACCATTTCGATGGCACTGCTGAAACCCAGATCACAATCAACGTTGGATTCTGTTCGCGGGGGCGTCCTTGGGAGCATTATGGTTTTGGTAAAAGAAATGCTAGTCAGGGGGTTTGTCCGAGCGAATAGTGAGTTTGGTTCTATGGTGAACATTGATTTTCGGCAGGTGATTATGGTGATGCTAATCAGAGTTCCATCGATTAGGAGAGAACTTAACTTATCCTATTGCAGTGACCAGCTTGGGAAGCAATTATGTAAGTTACAATTATATTCAAAGTCAAAACGAAATCGAAAGGGTTTGCTAAATAGTTGACAGGTGCTAGATAAGAAACATAGTCAACGCGGTCTACATCGCTGGAGGCCCTTGTACCGGGTCGAGGGTTGGTAAGTATAATCGTTAGTGCAGCTTTGGTGTTGATTTGCTAACAATTAAAACATAGAGCTCATGCCACCAACGTCTCCACGAATACTTCCAAATTGAGCCACGCGATTGGCTGGGGGGGTTGGCTGGCGGCCCATTAATGTCCATTCCTGTTAGTATATCTATGTTATTAGTGGCCACAAAGTGCTGGTACTAATCGTTTTTCTAGTGATTGTGAAAATGTCATGACACCACTGCAACCTCCACAACAGAGAGCATTTGCAGTCCGGCCCATTGCTGCCGGCCCTCGGTACACATGCAACATGTGACTATATCGGGCTCAATCGTACTCGGTATCTTTGTTTGCTCTCCGCAAATTAGAGAGATTTGAGTTGTCTCCCCATCATCACCCTGGCCTATTGGAAACGTGCCGAGAAGGGGATGCAGCGGTTGAAAATTCCCAAGAGGTAGAGATGTTTCCCATCCTGTAGGTGATGTAGATATTACAAATGTTAAAGCAAATAAGCAATTGAGCTGACACTAGTATTATAGGCGTGCAGCCATAAGAACGCGGCCTGTGATGGCGGAACCCCAGGATTTCAAGTAAGGGAGACATGAGTTGTCTAGGCCTTTCCTTCTGGGAGGCCTCGTCGACTAGGAGGGCTAGCTACCTCCGAGGTATGCTCCTCCGGCATACCGAGGACGTCAGTGAAGAGTTCATTGGTGTGGCTCTCGGTGGGCGGGCAATCGCCACACTCACAAATGTCGGGTTTTTCAGTATCGGAATTCTTCCTGTGTTGGTGGGCGGGGGATTAAAGTAAGACAACAACTCTCTTATCTAGTCATGGTTATAAATATGGCTAACCAGTAGCTCAGAGGTTATTCGATGCAGCGTATTGGACTCAAAAAGTCTGTCATAGGGCGTCAATTTCAGCGGTGAGAGTATTCTTTGGTTCTGGCGTGATTTCCAAGCAATCTCTACGCCGAGTGGAAATCAATAAATTGACGTGTAAAATGTACGTTCTTTTGTATGCCTTTCCCTGTGACTTTTGAAACTGACAATCCCGCAGGTCCCATTTACGTCCCCTTTACTGCGGTTTCTCAATCGCCGAGTTTAATATTCTCGTGTACTTATTAAGTGAGCAATGCATTTACTTGCAATTGCCCGCCAAATTTAATTCTTCTCTCAGCCAAATTTAAGCTTTCGATGATGCATTTCCTGATGCATTTCCACTCGTAGTAGAGCACGTGTAGTGGAAGAGCATGGCCGGTCTGCCTGCCTGTCTGCCATTCCTGTGCCTGTCTGTCTGCCATTCCTGTGCCTGCCTGTCTGCCATTTCTGTGTCTGCCTGTCTGCCTGTTTCCTCTCTCGCTCACCCCTGCACCCCGATCCCTAACCCACGTCCCGTCGTGGCCTAGCTCCGCGCAAACGCGCGGGAAAAGAAAGAAAACACCTCTCCTCTCGTGTGCGTGCAGCTGGCAGAAAAACACTCGCGGACGGGAAACAACGTAGCCTCTCGCACACAACACCATCATCATCATCATCATCATCATCATCATCATCATCATCGGCATCCATCACAGAAAGCCCCCCACCCCCCACCCCCCACTCACTACTCACCACACACCCTCTCACTCTCTCTTACGCTTGCCCTTACTCTTATCATCTCTCACTCTTACCCACTCTCACACACTCTCCTCCTCCTCCTCACCACCAAGCTGGCGTCCTCAACCCCTCTCCAGTCCCTCCTCTCCCCCTACCTTGGTCATCTGGATCCCCTCGACCACCTCCTCACCTCCCTCCAGCTCACGCTCCAGCCCAACAGCCCCCCCAAACCCCTGCACGACCTCCTTCCGCAGCTCCTCGTCGGCCTCGGTCTCACCTCGACCCTCCTCCTCCTCCTCATCATGCGCCGCTTCTTTGCCCGCGTCGCCGGCGGCGGCGCCACGCCCATCATCTCCGGCGACGCCTCCCCGGACCCCAACCGCACCTCCGACACCATCACAATCAAGCACGGCAAGGACGAGTTCACGCTCACGTACGCCGCCACCGCCATCACGGGCGGCACCCTCACGGTCGGCGACCTCCGCACCGACTGCAGCAACCACATCACCGCAGATCCAACGCGCATCTCGCTCCTCTGCGCCGGAAAGAACCTCAAAGACGACGCGGCAACGCTCGCCTCGCTCGGCATCTCCACCGCCGCGAAGATCCTCTGCATGGGCTCCTCCGCGCCCATCCCCGCCGCTGCCGCCACCGAGGCAGACTCGGGCACCGCGGAAAAGTCGAAGAAGAAGAAGAAGAAGTCGGGCGCCAAGGCCCGCGGCGGCAGCGGCGCGGTGACGCCGGAGGTGCAGAAGGTCGTGGTGCTGACGCCCATGCAGAAGATTGATGCCGTGTGGGACGGCATCGTGGCGAACCTGCTGCCGCTCACGGAGGACTTTGTGAATAGCCCGCCGGCGGACGCGGCGAAGCGCGCGGACATGCATCGGCGGCTGTCGGAGACGATGATGGGCGAGCTGCTGAAGCTCGACTCGGTGGAGAGTAGTGAGCCAGAGGTGAGGGCGCGCAGGAAGGGCGTTGTTAAGGATATTCAGAGGGTGCTGGATGGGCTGGATAGGGTGCCGAAGGCGCAGGGCGAGGTGGGGGATTTTGATCTGGATTAGAGGTGGGGGAGGTACTAGAGGGTAGAGGAGGGGCTCCTCGGGGTGAGTTGAGCCTGGGGTAATATATATGTTTTTTGTCTTTTAAAATATTCCTATTAATTGGGGATTGTTGTGTGTGTGTGCGTGTGTGTTTTTGTGTTCTCTTCTCACGATTATGTTTTTTGCTGGCGGTCTGTCTCTTTCTTCTGCTTTTTTTTCACTCTAGGGATTAGGGCATCATAGATGGTCGGTCGATTGGGGGAAATTCTAAAAGGGAGCAAAAGGCGGGAAGGGGAAAAACAGATGCAATGAGTTTTATGGAAAGTCTGGAGTAGAGTAATGAGAATAGAGACTAGTTGAGATATTCTGATACAGATGTCCTTGTGACGGTGGTGGTGGGGTGTCAATGATCAACTGTTGACTTCCGGCGGTGTGTACAGTAGTCTTTACAGATATAATAGTATTCAATAGTTCTTGATATATAATGGTATCTGATTGATGATATCACACTATAGTGTCTCTGGCTGTAAATACGTTCCCTAGAGGGATATAAAAGATGCGGTCTACAGCTAGCCCCAACCCCCCGAGACCCAAAAAGTTAAAAATGGAGATCATAAAAATAGGTAGCTACGGGTATGTGGTCGCGTCGGGAGTCATTGATAGGCCTTGGGCTCTTGTTGTGGATGGTTTTTGCTCAGTTTGTGGTTGGGTGCCGGCAATGATTGATTGACTGGAAATGATTGACGTTACAACTACAGCTACCATGCAGGGCAGTAAACTACAACAATTTCACGGTCCATGTTTTTACACACACGCCCAAAAGAACATCCGCCCAATTACAGTCTCCCACCATCAATTCTTCGCACCAATGCTGGAATGGAAGTATACCTTCTCCAGCCCTGCCTCCCTACAAAATAAAACAAAGCGAAAAAAAAGCACCCCCACCCCCCCCTTACGCCATAGCACTCCCCACAGTCCCCACCGGCCTCTCCACCAGCGTCACCAACCCCTCCACCACGCTCCTCCTCGCGGGCTCACTCGCCACCTTCCCCGCGCCAACATAGCACATCCACAGCGCCGTCGACAGCCTCGGATCAGCCACGCTGCCCAGCACCACAACGTGGTCCTTCTCGGCGTCGCCGTCGCCGCCGACGCGCCCGTCGTTGCGCCCCGTGGGGTCGAACAGGCACTCGAGCGCGCCGTTTGCGTCGCGCACGAGGAGCAGCGTCTTCTGCTTGGGCACGGATTTCTTCTGCCCGAATGCTTGCTTGAACGAGGTCAGCGCGTGCGAGAAGGCTTCGTCGTCGTAGGCCGCGTTCTTGCTGGTGCGCGATTGGATGCCGCGGATCCAGCCGTCGCGGAGGTGCTGGTAGTCTGCCGTCTAGCTGTTAGCACACCTGCCCCCCCCCCTTTCCCTCCCATCTGGGATGAACACATACCGGTATTCCTCGTCGGCACAATCCTCAGCACGGACCTAACCCCCGCCCCCTCCGGCCCCAACAACCCCTCCCAGAACGCCTCCCCCTCCACCGCCAACTCCCCCCTCAGCACGTCCCTCTCCCCCGCCGTCGCCGCCGTCACCCCCTCGCCCACGCGCCGCGCCAGCGCCGCCTGCACCTTCGCTAGGTCGTCGGCTGCCACATACAAGCCCACGACATACACCTCGATGCCCAGGAAGCTGACGGTTCTGATCCCCAGGCCAACCAGCGCATACTCCGTCCCGCCCAGCCTCAGCGTCTTCGGGAACGCCGGGACACTGGTCGTGCCGCTGGGGACCAGCTCCACGCCGGCCGCCTTCTCGGCGGCGCTGTGCAGGATCGCGGGGGTGCCGGGCTTGATGGGGGTGGTGGTGGTGGTGGTGCCGGGGGGCGACTCGGCCTTGTGCTCGATGTCGATGGAGGTGGCGAGGAACCAGAGGGCGCCCATGGACAGCGTTGCGCAGACGATGAGGGTGGTTTGGCGCCGCTTCTGGGCGGCGAGGGCGGAGCGGGTGGCGGTGGGGGTGGTGTAGGTGTGTGTGGTGGGGGGGCGGTGGGGCGCGGTGGTGAGGGTGCGCGGGAGGGGGGTGAGGCGGAGGTTGCGGGGGAGGGTGCGGGGGAGGGCGCGGAGGAGGAGGGGGCGTGGGGTGAACATGCTTGTGGGTATCGTGAGGGTTTCAATTGTGGTGTGGATGGATGGTGGAGAGTTGAGGTGAAGAGGAAGAGAGGCGGTGGTGGTGAGTGGAGCCTTGGCGTGCATCATACGATGGCGGGGACCTGTGGCCTGAGAACTGGCTTCTCTACAGGACAGACAGCCGCTTCCGGGGTCAATGATAGCTGAGTTTTCCCGCATCTTGAGCGACTCCAATTCTCATTCAACACCCAAAATGACCGTTCGGAGGTGTCACTCATTGGCACAGGCACATCCACTAGAACCGACCAACTACTGGCCACTTGAAGATTTACAAAGCAATTGAGAAGAATTACAGATACTATGTGCCAGCTAATATCGAGACGCCTGCAGGTTTCTCTACGGCGGTAACACACAGAGCGCTGTGAAATGTGGTGGTGGGAACCATTGACCAAAACCTCACAGGCAAAATATGGCAGCCCTCATATATCGACACTCTACTAGTACAGTACACACCCCATTTACCTACTAATCTGAATCATGAACCAATTCAAAACAGCAATGATTCTATTCCGGTAAGATCACAATATCAGGGTGTAAATAAACATAGGTGCTCCACAGTTAGCCATGCCGGGACTTCTCATATAACTGTTTCTATTCCGCAAAGTTGGTTTCTGGATCGGGTTACTAGAATTCTCTCTCTAACAAGGCCGGCATGGGATCCCGATGACTACTTTGCTCTGATACTTGACTATTGCCGTGTCTGCTCTCGTTCCACAAGATGTCTCCAAATAATCCTCCTGAAGCCTCCGGATGTGTCTGTTTCCACAAACCTTAGTAGAGGGTTCGCTCGAAATGGGTGTAAGTGGTCGACATGATCATTGACATCCCACAAGCAACAACTATATCACTGGCAACCACCCGGGTGTGTCTACTGTAGCCATCAGTGATACCATGACGACATAGCTCCCAACCCCCGCACTCCCCAGCTCTCTACAAATCTAACTTATCACAATCAAATCACAATCAAATCACTCGAACAACTCATTCCTCATAAGGAAGCAAGTAATTTCTTTCAATTCCAATCAAGCCACCACAAAGCTATCTATCCAAAAAAGAAAAAGAAACCCATCATCTAAATAGCGCCAGCATCCTTCAACAGCTTCGGCAGCTCGCTCTTACGAGCATCCAGGTCCGAGTTACCACCGATGAAGTTCTGCCCGATGAAGTTCTGCGGGACGGTGCGCTGGCCGTATAACTCCTGGAGGGCATCCTGGATCTCGGCTCCGTCGTCTGCAGTTGATTAGTATGATAGTTCTTTCTCTGAGCGGATGAGGGGAGGAGTGGTGAGGGGATGAGAGCAGTGGAGGGTGGGGGGTGGGGGTGAGGGAGGCATACCAATCTGGTCGAGCTCAAGAACATAGAACTTTGCGCCGAGGCCGCTGAGGGTTTCCTTTGAGGCTTTACAGTAGGGGCAGTATGATTTACTGAACACGGCTGTATTATCCTCGGGTAAGCAACGATATCTCCCAACCCAAAAAAGACCAAAAACATCGGAAAGGCAGAGATGGAGCAGGAGGTAGAGAGGGAAAGAAAGAGATGGAGGGAAGAAGCATACCAACAGGGTTGCTATCGATGATGCCCTGCACCTTCTGCTTGGTAGCTGCGGAAACCATTGTCGGCTGCGAGCTTCCGAAAAGACGTCTGAATATCGAAGTTATTTTGAAGAGCGTGTGTGCGGCGAGTGTTCGAGCAGGAAGAACTGGTCGAACTCTCTATTTAGTGGGGGATGATGATGATGTTGGGTATATATGTGGGATGAAGATGAGTAATGGAAGGCAATGTGGTTGTAGAGGCTGGTTTTTATGAGATTCGGCAACGACGGCGATGGATGACGTTTTTGGTGGTGGGGGAGCTGATTATGTCAGGCAGTGCTAGTGGGGTTCTTGTGTGTTCGGCGTCTCTGGGTGCTTTGGGCCTTCCGTCGGGGGCCTAGGCCCTGTTTTCCCTGCCCACAAACGTCCTCGCCGATGGGAGACGCACGCACCCCAGAGGCGCTCGCCGATGTGCGTGGGTGGCTAGGTCGGTTGGCTTGTTCGGGATAGCCCTTTAGTACTGAGGTATATGCAGGGGTGCGCAGTTTGTGGTATGGATGGTAATGCGAATGTTCTTACATGTAGTCGCTAACTTCCTCGGCGCGGTTGGCTCTACATACTCGAATAGCCGAGTCCCGCGCAGATTTACTCGTGATACCTGGCTTACATGCATGTGGATAATTAATCTTACAGGCAAGGTTGATGATTTCTAATAAATCTGAATTTTAAATACTGACATGACGTGTCGGAGCAAGCTCTTGGTCGGATATAACCTATATACACACATGCATGTATTAGAAGGTATAGCTAGTGATCTATAAAGACATGTGGAGCTCTCTAGAGGTAAGCACAACAACAGCGGCCGCGGAGCTTTCTGCGGGACTTCAGATGGCACCATGGACGAAACCGAGTGACAACACATGATTGATGCTACGTCCCAGCGTTTCGCCAAGACAACACGACAGTCATAAAATGCTGCTCAAGAAACAACCGTGTGAGGTTCAGAGACGACACAAACTTGGGGAAGCTTCACCATGATCGAATTAACCCGGGATTGGGGATGGCCGTTGTGTCCTGCTCCTGTAGGGGCCTCCTTGGTGAGGTTTCAAACCCTCGCGAACTATAAAGACTGTACGGTACCGGTGGAATGCCCACACACGTGTGTAGAGCATCTTGGTAATCTGTCTGTGCTCCAGATAGACCGCTCTACAGGATGGGGTTTCATAGAGTAGGTAATATCCCAGTGCTCTACAAGCACAACAGCTGCTGTCAACCCAGTACTGGTCTGCCAAGCCCCAAGTAACAGGTCTACATACCATAGAGTTGTAGAGGCTTACGCACATGGCTCCAACCCTACTCGCCCCAAGAGCTGAAAAGCAAAAAAGCATGCCTCCCCGGATAAAACAGAATCTAGAGTAGATTCCTTAGAGCATTATGCAGGTCGTGGTGGTACATAACAACAAAGGCCGTAGACCGGGGGGCCAAACAGCGGGATGTACCGCGATCGGCGTTCTGGATGAAACAAAAAGAAAGCTTAAATGGACCTTACACCGAGGGACGTGGGGGAGGGGGGTTTAAACGTGTTATGTTTTTTTTCCAGCTGTGATAAGTATATTTTATGAAACTGTTTGATGGAATCGATGACGTGCTTCTCAATTTTACCTACCTACATTTCCTCCGACGTCATGATGGTTGTGAAGCGTGTGTATGTGGCTGGTTGCGCATTCAACGACGTTCGTAGAAAATCAGACATCTTCGAATATGACAAGGTTCCTAATTGGAGGATCGAGACCCGGCACTCTGAATAGAGTAGGGCACGCCATGGAATACCAATTGTAGGAGTTGAATCAAAGGTAAAACCCCCAAAATCTGAGGACAGCGAGAGAAGATGCGTAATCCTGCAACCAGGTCATCTCAACTTCAGCTGTTCCATGACCTTTTCTTTCGGGGCAATCAGTGGTGAGCTGGTCTCGTTCATTGATTTAATAGTATGAGACGACGTCTTCCCCGTAGATCATTTCCATCTCCAGGAGGTGGAATTCAATGTATCATTTGGAATTTTTAGTTCCGGGAATGTGGTTCTTGGTAGGAATTTAGTTTGAAGATAAGGGACAACTTGGTTAGGGCCCCCATGTGAAACCTGATTTTTTCTCGGATCTGAGGATCCAGCCAGCCAGCCAGCCAGGTCGGGGCTTTGCGAGATCCCGCCTTCCAGAAAACAAGCCGACGATCATGATCTGCAACGGTTCTGGGGGTGCTTGTTTTTAAGCTTCGTCCATCAACAAAGGGCCGTATGTGCTGGAGGGAGGGAGGGAGTGTGTGTGTGTGGGATGTGAGGGAGGGTGGGCATTCGGACATCAGGTGACCCAGAAGACACCAAAGCTCTGACGGATGCGGGATGTAATTGTGGGCATCCCAACGGACCTGTGCGAACAGAACGAATAGAGGGCTCGATAGCCATTGCAATCTCTAGGCCAGGTATTCGTGATATGTATGCAGGTGGTTACAGCAATCGACCTATGATGTTGGGTTCGTGAGCTGTCTGGGCCGTCCTGTGGCACCTATCCCTACCACTGCTTGGCAGCGGATGTCGATTTACTAAGCCCAAAAAGCAATCTGATTGGTCAATTTAGTCGTTTCAAGTGCTTTCTCCAAGCGAAACACCCTTGTACTCGTAGGGTGAATTATGGGTTGGCAGCAGTTATTTTTTTTTTTTTTCCTCTTTCTCTCTCTCACTCCCTCGCCTACGCATCCGCTAGCTAACTAGACCATCTTCCCACATTTGGTTTTCTTCCTCTTCTCTCCTTCCCTCTCACCCCTCCACTCCTCTTCACCCACTTTCATCATCTCGATCTCCACCAAAAAACAACCCCACCATCCATCTCTCCCATCTCTCCCACCTCTCCTCTCCTCTCCTCTCCCCTCTCCCCTCCACCTGCTCCTCCTCTCCCCTCCACCTGCTCCTCCTCCTCCTCCTCTTTTCCGTTTCTTCAACCCCACCCCCCACCCCTCTACCCTCTACTCCCCCCACCTCCACCTAGCCTCCGTCATCCATCCAATTACCTCTTGCCCCACCTTACCTCTTCAACAAGCAGCAACCCCGCATTGACCAACTATGTCTAACGAGGATAGAGAAGCTACTGGTGCCGATGATTCTCTCTTTGAGAACTCCTTCCGCGACCTCAACGTGAACGATGACGATGACGAAGGAAGGATCCGTACCGAGGACGAGTACGCCCAGGAAACATTAACTCTCCGCGCCATCGTTTCCTCTAAAGAAGCCGGTGTCATCATCGGCAAGGCTGGGAAGCACGTTGCTGATCTCAGAGATGAGACTGGTGTGAAAGCTGGTGTCAGCAAGGTGGTGCCTGGTGTCCATGACAGAGTTCTTACTGTCACTGGAGCACTGGAGGGAGTTTCCAGGGCGTATGCCATGGTTGCTGCCACTTTGTTGGAGAGCCCATTGAGCAACACGATGAGCAGCACCTCTGTGCCTTCTGGACAGCATCGTATGTTTTGACCCCTTCCTTTAAACATTCCTCTAGTCAGGAACAAACATTTTACCCCTGGAAAACACTGACAAAGAACTCTCTGTAGCCATCCGTCTGCTTATTTCTCACAACCACATGGGCACCATCATCGGTCAGAAGGGTTTCAAAATCAAGCACATCCAAGATGTTTCTGGTGCGCGCATGGTTGCGTCAAAGGAAATGCTCCCACAATCAACTGAGCGTATCGTCGAAGTCCAGGGTGACGCCAACTCTATCCGTCTCGCAATCTGGGAAATCGGAAAGTGCCTCGTCGACGACTGGCAAAGAGGGAATGGAACAATTTTGTACGATCCCCTGGTGCGTTCTCAAGGCACCGAGCTCGAAGGAAGCACCGGTACTGGAGGACGGATGAGATCCGGCAACGGTGGTATGGGAGGTGATAGGTACCAGGAGCGCGGAAGCAGAGGCTCTTACACTCGCACCGGAAACGGCGCCGACTTCTCGGACCACACCAGCAGCTCTTTCCGCCGCACTGGAGCCCCCACATCTATGCGTACCTCGGACCGCTCTCCCTCAGCGCCCGGCCAACCTATGATTTCTGAGGATGGAGAAGAGTATCAAACTCAGAACATCTCCATCCCTGCTGATATGGTTGGTTGCATCATTGGTCGTGCAGGATCCAGGATCCAGGAGATCCGCAGGAGTTCTGGATCAAAGATCAGCATTGCTAAAGCCGCCCACGACGAGACTGGCGAGAGGCTGTTCACACTCATTGGAACCCCTGCCGCGAATGAAAAAGCTCTTTACCTGCTTTACGAGAACTTGGAGGCCGAGAAGATTAGGAGGTCTAGCCAGGGAAGCCCTGGTCACGAATAGGCGTTTTTTTGATTTTTCAAAGTTGGGGGTAAAAATATTGGGGATTGAATTAACTTAGTTCACTGTCTCTTTTCTAGCTATTTTCTGGGCAATAAAGTGTCCATTGCCATTATTATATCTGACAGTATGGGTTCGAAAACCACAGTAATGTTTTTATCCGGTTTTCATAACCTGCATACCTAGGTCTTAATGTGTCAGTGTGTACCGGTGGTTGGAAACGATATTTTTTTCTCTTTTTTGCGATTCGGGGGTTTCGGGCTGCTTTTTTTTACTTTTTTTTTTTTTTTTAACTGGGAAAATACAGGCGAAAGTGTCTACGGACAGTTATGGAACCAAAAATTATCACTTTTAAAGCCCTTATTCTCTTCTCAGTTTAACCTACATTTTTTCCATGTGGTGTTTTCTCTCTCTCACTCTCTTCTCTCTCCTCTTTAAATGGAAAATTGCTTAGCTTTCTTTTATATTGTTTAAAGAGCTAGGGCTATTAGGGACCGAGCCGATTGTAAAGGCGAGGAAGTGAGGAAATGATGTGGGGTGTTTGTCATTCCTATGATGCAATTCTTTTATTTTTATGGCTATGGGAAACATGTGATTTACGGGTGTTTATTCCTTGAAGTACAACTATCTAATCATTCTTCCCCCCTCCCTACCACCTCCTCTTTGTCTCATTTTTCACCTTTATCGATTAGGGGGACACACGTGCTTCTGTGCTTTTCTGTTGGGACCTATAAGTGAAATCGTTTGATGGTGCCGGCGGAGTTCGATGGTGGTAGAGCAGGTGTGTGGTGGTGGGGTTTATTTTATCAGGCAGACCATCACCTGCCCTGTCAAACAGCAGCAGCTGTGCGTTTAACACATGTGGGAAATACATGTGTTGACCCGCCTGCCGGCCTCCCCCTCCTGACTGAGTGAAAAAAAGAAGATCTGCCACTCTTCCTCCTTAATATAGTTTGTAGCCATGTGTCTCCCCGGGTTCAATGCTAGTATAACCCCAAAGGGGGGGAAGGTGGTTCGGGGGGAAACCCACGATCGCTGCCCCGCCTTTGTTTCCCACTCACGCATTCGTGTATGGGCCAGTGACACAAACGGGCGGCGGCAGATGACAGGGCATGCGCAGAGTGGAATCCGATGGGCGGCATCATCATCTTATCAGTTGGTTAGAACGGCCACCCACGGGGGGAAGGTGATAGAGTGCTCCAGAGATAAATTACCGAAAAGCGGGAGCGGGAACGGGGGATGGGATGTCCGATGAGGGGGACGTCAGAAAAGAATTTTCCGTTTTACGACGTGTTCTTTTCAGGAAGCAGCACCAGGCAGCAGCAACAGTAGCAGCAGCCAGAAACAAGAGGGCGGAATTTAAATGCCATGTCAGGATTTGAGTTGGACCCTGCAGCGGCATGCGGGCCGATTGTAGATTTATGAGGCTCTATATCGGAATAGGCGCATAGGGGGGCGATGATCAGTCCCTCAAAATCTCTCGGACAGACCCCGCCTGTTAGACTGGAGTACTACCTCGCGGGGAGAACCTTTGGGAAACAGATGGATACATGACCGGATGGACTTGGTGGAGTTGGACGCACACTGCTCGTGGGGATGGCAGATACATGGGTAGATTTCCCATGTTTGGTAACTCTGTAGCAAGCGCTTCGATCGCCGATATTCGCTTCGCCGCGATAGACAATCGGTAATAACGTTCAACGCCTAGGTTGATAATCGGTGAAGTGTGTCGAACCCATTTGGGAGCCTAAGGCTGCTATCGTTTATGTATTAACGGATTGGTAGGTCTTTTGTTCAAAGTGGTTTCTAAGAGCGTCTCCAAGGTGCTATAAGGAATCCATTGAACACAGATGGGAAGCGGGAAATCTTGGTTTTGATGTTAGACGTAAGTAGACTATGGTCGGGCGGAACTTAACTGGGGTTCTACGGGCCGCCCCCGGTTAGTTAGCGCAAGTTCCGTGCGGAGCTGTAGACATCGGGGCGGGCCGTTCTGACTTCCGGACTCGGAATCTCAAGAGGTCACTCGGTTATTTGTGGATGGTTCGTGCACATATGATGGCTTATCGATAATGATAGGATTTTATCGCGGAGTAGGTTTTTTCTCATATTTATCTGAGTTGTTCTGTCATGCACGATCACTCGGTGATTCCCATATGACACTTCTTGTAGAGTGACCAGCAAGGTTGAAAAAACGACAATTAAACGTATCCTGAGATACATTGAGGCGGGTATAAAGACTCGAATTAAGTGAGTCCTGTAACGGGAATTAACTTTTTGTAGAAATTTGTAGTTTCCTAAGCCAGAACCAGAATGCGGCACCACCTTCGCCTGATGCGACATATTGCCCTCCACGGGTGTTATCGATAATCAAGAAAGAGATCGAGTTGCCTGTAAAATTACCCCTGTATTGGTAATAAGGTTTTGAAAATTTGGATTTGTGAACACGGGTGTGCTACATCACATCAGCCTTTAGCCTTGCTGGAACCTACAGCTAGCTGGTTGATTTGTCGTAGCTTGGCTGCTTTCTTGAAATACTGCCACTTCGCTAGATAATAACTTAAAAATAAAGCTGAAGTAGAACTCCTCGCCAACTAAATTTTTCGTCGTTGCCCCACCGTCGCATTGACTGTGTTAGGGTGCGTAATTTCCCTTATACAGACTCGATTGCTCCAAGGACGGCAACCATATAGCAAGGTCGCAAGGAGACACCTTTATTCGAAGTTATTTCTACTCGGGAAACTTGTAATTGATATGTTTCTGTGTAGAGGTAAATAATAGCGAATATCAAATATCGTATGCTCTTGAATAGTAGAATCGAGTGATATTGAATGACTCCAATAGTACCGATGAACTATGAACAGACTCGTAAAGATTAAAGCTCATAGCTCGTTCGATAGAATAGAAAACAATAGGGGAGATAAATTCTATGCCACGAATGCTTTCGCTAACTATCCGAAGCGCTATTCCAAAATAATGATTTTCATAAACATAACCTCAGGAAGCCTTGAGTGTGGCCAGGCTTTGTTCGGGTCCTAAACGATAGCCAAACATCGTAATCGGGTTTGAAGCTCGTAAGATTGATAGTCCTGATTGAGTTTATCGTTTCTAGTTCCCTCTAGTAGATATGCTTTCCAAATAGCTCTATTTGTTTATGTCTTATCAACCATCAATTGATGTGAATCAATGAGATTTATTAGGTAACGTAAAGTTGAAAACATTCTAGATAGAAATATGAGTAGTGATAAATAAATGGGCCATTTGTGCCCTGCCTCATATTGCTGTATCGTCGGAGATGGTTGAAACTTCTTATTGCAATAGTTGATTCCCAGAATTTCAATGCATAGCTCCCTCGATAGATGAAAGAGTGATGATGGTAAATGCATATATGCATACTTCAAGCCAATGCGCTGAGCTTGAATTTAGCGATGGACAGTTGATCGAGAGGTTGCTGATATGGCACAAAATGCAAGCCACGAATGTCACACGTTTCTGTGGCTGTATTCAACGTTTTTATCTGTAATCATGTTAAGAAGAATTTCAAACATGGAAATGATAGGTAGTTCTGTTCCGTGCCAATATGTGTGGCGACGGTAGGAGTCTTATCTCCTTCGGCATATGGGTCGTATCGTATTTGTTTCTGCGACATCAAAATCAAACGCCATTCCACTACCCGATACCCCTTCCAACGTAATAAGATTAAACCTCAATCGCCATATACTAATACAGCTGGGAGTGATGTTGGTGCGTCGATCTTCGTGCCTTGAACATTTATTTTTGTCTCCTCGTGGCTTTCACAGTCCTTCAAAAGAATTTCGGCCAACTCTTTATGATTTATATTCTCCTTCTGGGTGAACTTGATTCGAATATTTGTGTCGTGAGTAAAAGTTTGATCGAAATTTCTTAGCGCTCCTGGTGATCTGTTTCATGGGAGCGCTTCCAATAATATCCTTGCAACTTCGGATGTAATTTACCAAGAAATGTCCTCGTGCCCTCTTGCCATCATGCAACTATCTAGCGAGAACATCCCGGAGATTCCTTTCCAGGGAAATGATACTGGATACGAATCCTTTTAATATTCGTCTGGAGAGAGCTGTGTATGTATTAAAGTTTGTAAGCACCATGAGTATTGAGCAAAGAGCCCGAAGGTGGTGTTTTAGAGAGGGAAGAGGTGCTTATTTATCCAACGACAGCCCTGCTTGCCTCTAAGCCACTGAAAGAGACGCCAGAGATCATCAGAGATCACTCGCTCCTTTCCATCTAAGCGGTGTAACTGACTGTGGCTCGAGATCTCCCGTCTATTGGGAAGACACAGTACCAGATAGATGGGATGGATCCATATTCGGTTTGATGATAGATGCCAGATGAACGATAGAGACAAAAGGATTGGATGATGGATGAAGTTGACTCATTTATCTGGATCAACCTCGCTGGATAAGAGTGCCAGAAATTTGAAATTGGGGATTCTGCACACCACACTGCCCGATAAGTGTATTGCTTGGTAGTGGGGCTGATGTTTCAGGACCACCAAGAAACATGCGTTGAAAAACCAGAGGCTGGTCAAAGACACTTGTCTTTTCTTTAGTACGTGCATGATACACACGTCAGGGCGGTGCAGTTCAACAAGTAGGATGTTGAGTTTGTTGAACATACATGGAGTAGTTAAGCCGGAAAACCTGGGGGTGCGGGACGCCGTTAACTACCATTACGGGTTTACCAGTTTACCAGCCACTCTCACTGATGCCCTGGTGCCCTCTGATGCTGCCCTGATGCCTGATATGAAGAGTGTCTGACAACAAACGCACAGACCCCACAAATTCACCCATAACCCCACACCAGGGCAAAACCGGGTTAGTAAGCGCTGATGTGAAATCTGATTGGCCAAAACAGGGCTAAGACGACCGCGGTGATTGGCACCAACAGGCGGCGGGCACTGGCACTTGAGAACGGGGGTCGTGGGAAACCCTGCAGCTGAGCCTTCCTTGAACTTCCATCCCCATTCGTTGTTGGGCACCTCGCATCGTGCAGCCCCAAAAGCCTTGCAACTCGCGACACACTCAAGACTAGGACAAGCAAAGCAAGATCTAGGTTACGGTAGTACCTGTTCATTTCTGTTCGTTCTATTCGTTTGCGGACTCCCTTTCTCCCCTTGTGGTTCTGAACGCCGCTCCACTTGCAGCCTTTGCCTTCCGCTGCTGCTGCTGCTCGGCTTTCGTTCTGTGGCTCTCACCCGCACGTTTCCTTTCGTTCGATTCCTATTTTAATTCTCTGCCCCATCACATACGGTACATTACATATTTTATTTTATTTTTCTGATATCTATTTTCCGGCAAGATCTTTGGGTGATTGCGTGAGTAGTAGAGCCACTGGCTATCGTTGGTTGTTCTGTTATTGTACGTTTATTATTCTTGCGGTGCTCGGATTTTGGAGTTTTGGAGTTCCACTTCCAGTTGTAGTTTGAATCGTATTCAGGCTACTGCTACTTCTACTACTGCTTGTTCACGACAACTTCTTTCTTAACTCCCTCCCTCTGTGTTCATTTCCTTTTCTCGCTCGCATCTCCGTCCCACATAACTGCAGCCAGTCAGTTAGTTGTCCAGCCAGTCAGTGTATCGGAGTCCTCCACCCCCAGCTAATGCCATAGCCAAATTCCCCCCGTTCCTCCTACTATTCTCTCGTCCGCCTCATTTTCATACCCCCCCATCTTTCCCCTCCGATATCTCTCACTTTCCCGCTCCCCGCATACGCCTTCTCCTTCGCCCCCAGTCTTGATTTCTCTGGGATTCCCCCCCATCTCCTTCTGCAGCCCCTGTGCTGGGTCTGCAGAGAATAGTTCGCTCTCATAATGGCTGCTGTGTCTACCGCCACCCTGACTCCCCCTTCGTCATCCCATGGCAGGTCAGCTCTAGGGGGTGACTGGGACTTTAGTGTTCCTATAGATGGGGTACGTCTCCTGCCGCTTCCCTCCTCCCTGAGGACGACCGAAACGAAACACGCGTTGGTTTTCGTGTTTTTTTCTCCCCAACCCAGCCCACTGATATATTTTTTCTACAGGCCGATACTCCGGATCTCACGTTCCGAGGAAGTTCAGCAAGCTCTTCAATGCCTCATCGAACCGGTTCCGATGATCACTTTATGAATGGTCGGCCAATAAATGACTACGATCACGTGCAGCAGGCTAAGTCTTTCTTGCCTGTTGATGTACATTCGTCCTCTGCGCAGAATCACGTCAACGATTACCGGTATATGCAGCAGCAGTCCCCATCACGAGGCGAAGGCTACAGCAGATCCGCAACTCCCGATCTATTATCAGCCACAAATGGGCCAATGTTGAAACGCCAGGGTTCAACCATTTCGTCGAATCATGACGGCGATTCGGTGTATGATCTCTATGGTGGAGGAGGCGGCGGTAATGGAAGAATGACGACACCCGGCGCAGTAAGCCCTGACTCGTTTGAACCACAGAGAGGGGCTGAACTGTTTCCAAGGTTTGTCAGTGGGGGAGCGTTCGATGAGCCTGATTCTTCCAAGTGGATCCACAAGGATAAGTTGGAAAAGAGGGAAAAGAAGGAGAAGAATGAGAAGAAAGAGAAGAAAGGCAAGAAGGAGAAGAAGGAACGGGAATCAAAGTGGATTCATAGGGACAAGTTGGAAAGGGACAATCCAGAATCTTCGAAATGGATCAATAGTGATACGCTGGACAAAGACGACCCAGATTCTTCAAAGTGGATTGATAGAGACAAACTTGCCAAGATAGAGGCGACTGACGCAGGCGGACGGACTGCCTACAACTCAAAGGTAGATTCTGGGACTTCGCGGTGGATTGACAAGGACAAGCTTGAGAAGATAGAAAACCAAGAGCTGCAGCGAGCCGGCATAACCGTTTCACGCTCTAGGGCATCAAGCAGCACAGCTCAACGGGGCAACGAGAACGAAAGTTCTAGGGACCAAAAGAAGCAACGAATCTCATCGCCCCCACCCATCGAAGACGAGGATGAACACATCTACAACAACCCCAACGAAGTCAGCAACGATCTAAGAACACCTGAAGAACAAGCCGCCGACCGTGCTTTTCAACAAGAAATGTCACCTCACCGCCAGTTCTGTCGAGGCGCTTCGCACTCACGAATACCGGTACCGACTTCCTCTCCTTTCCCTATACCTCAGCAGTTTTTGGAACGTAGCGCTCCTCTATTGCGAAACTCGACACCGAACGGATCCGATGATGAAAGAGCTAGCCTCACAAACACCTTCATCCGTTCCCGCAAACGGTCTCACTCTGCAGGATCAGCTTTCTTGCTCGATGACCCGATGACAGCGTTGCCGCAACCTGGAACAATTTCGAACCCCAAGAACTCCTCCCGCAACCCCACATCGCCTGGCGGCTCACCCCGCAAGGCTCGTAACAACTCTTCGCTTAAACAGAGAACTCGATCGAATCCACAGCTATTCAATCGTCCTGGCACAGCGGCATCGTATTCTACGCACCTCGGCAATGGCGGTACGGGAGAGTCGACTAGGAAACATCATCCCGAAGGGCCGCCACCTTGGTCGTTACAGTCGTACAAACCCGATCCAAGTCTACCTCCAGATCAACAGATCATCCCAACTGTTGCAAAGCGGATGCAGCAGGAGCAATGGGAAAGAGATGGTGCGACTGCAGATGTTTATGATAGAGATCTGAGACCACTGAGGGTTCATGGGAACGAAGAGGTCGAGAGAGCTCGGCACAGACGTACAATCTCCCAAGAAGATTCTCTAGAGCAGAAGAAGGAGGAGTGGCCATTAAAGGCACCTACTCCTCCAGTGGATGAACCCAAGAATAACCGGCAGGATGCCGGTTACAAAGCGATGCCTAGTGTGAGTGCTTTCTGGATAGTGTTACACCCGGAACTTGAACTTAGATTATTGACATTAATTAGGTTAACGGCAACGCACAACAATCAACTGGCTTTTCAAGTGCAGTGTCCTCGCACCAAGTACCGGAACAGTCGTCAACGACTACAACCAACGACCTGGAGCGAGAAAAGAAAGAAGAGAAGCGGAAGAGGAAGAAGGAGAAGAGCCCTTTGTGCTGTGTCATCTGCTAATTAAGCAATCCCTGGTTGCATCACTGTGTGAAGAGTGCTTGAGAAGACCTTGCATACGTTGGGATAGCGTATTTGTTGATAGACCTGGGGTTCGTAGGTGCTTTTCCATTCAACTACAATTTTTTCCTATTTCCTTTCTTTCATTTTGGGGCACCGGTTAGGGGTTTTGTTTTATCATTTTCCAGGGTTGAAGGAGCAATTTCTTTTTACACGTCGAGCTATTTTGTTCACATCATGAGGGCGAGGGACTTTTATTTTTACTTTTTTCCACAGATACTCATTATAGTTTAGTGAGTATGTCTACCTCCCTCTCCCGTCCTCCCTCTCAATCCTTTTTTTATATCTCATTTGTTGTCATTACTTTTCTCTATTTGATAGCGGCGAATTTGAAGCGAGATGGGGCATAATGGCGATTTTTTCGAGCTGGTTTTGTTTAACCTACTTTGATCTTGATGGTTGTGTTTTCTCTTTTTTTTTCTTTAAAAAAAATCTTAGCTACTTGCTGCTGGTTTGTTGTACTTCTTTTTTTTCTTTCCCGTCTTTTTATCAGCGTTGATTTTTTTTTCTGCATTCTGTTTCTTCATGGCCGGTTTTTTGTTATTTGGCAGTCTTTATTTCAACCCAGTACGGTTGGTTTTTTATGATATGTACTGGGCTTCATATATCCTTTGCTTTTTTCTGTATTTTTTGTACGAGAGCGTCGCTTTCTTAGTATCTTTCCTTAAGTGGAGGGAGAAGACCTGGTGCTTTTGAGTGGTGGGGTAGATTGACGACAGGGCGGAGCGAGGCGGGGGGCGATCGAAGGAGGTGGAGAGGTAAAAATAGTATACACAAACTTGGGATGACTACTGGTTTGTAGAAGAGCTGTAGTACACCATGTTACGATATAAAAAAATAGTTCCTTGTTTGTCAAAAGCCATAATTTATGATGTTTATGATCTATCTAGTGGAGCACTTACTGTTTATCCTTACACGTGACTCGCATATTGAGGGAGGCGCGCGAACGCGTTGACTTACTTTCAGAGGTTCAACGTTTCCTGCGTTGACGGCTGAGGCTACTCGACTGGGGCATGGTTGATGGTTCGCTGGTTATCCGGCATTAGGTTGTTCCAGAACACCCTGCAGCAGCATCAGCCAGGAACAGCGGTTTTTCGACAGAAGAGAAGAGCAGGCTGCAAGGCTTCCCCCCAGTTCTCCCAGCCCTTTTAGTAATTGGTCGGGGATCCTCTTCCCCCGCGGCCGCAATACATACGCCCGCAGTTACATAAACAGCATAAAACGCACGAGGAAGAGTTTTCGTTTTTACCCTTTCCGAGCCGTGCCCTCCAGGGCGAGTTTATTGCATGCATGCAAAATAAGGTACATAAGTACACATTGTAAAGGTATGTGTTGTTTATTATCGCTGCACAATAAAGGGGGGGCTGGAGAGATAGAGAAGAAATTTTTTTGCGAACATTCTCCGAGAGGTTGCCAGAAAGAAAAAACCGATGTCGCGATATGCTGATGGCGAGGAGAGGAGGCGGCCCATGCTCCCCTTCCCGATGGGGAATGAGTAACGCTGGTATCGTCTTTTCTTTTTTCTTTTTTGCTTCTTTCGACCTCGCTGTCAGGGCGCCATCGGCCCAAGTCAGTGAGCGAGTGATGCGATGGGAAAGACAAGACATCTCGGTTCCAGAACCAGTAACTCCAGATGCGAATGGATGACGTGGGGCCGGTATGCATCTGCTTCCAGAGCACATACCTACTCTAGACTCTTGCCAGAGGGGGGATAGTTGGCGGGGAGAATCCTTGTACAACTGTGCATATATGGCTTTAATATTCGAGATTGATTGCGGTTAGACGCATAGAAAATAGCTGGATTAGAGCTTTTGGCAACAGCACTTTTCCCAAAATTTGAGTTCTTGGCTCTACACTGCTACAAGCATTTACAAGTGGATCTTCCAGGATCTGTTGCGATTTCACACCAAAGAAGCAACGGAATCGCTTCTAGCGGCGCAGAGCCAAGAACTCAAATTTTGACCTAGAAATTTGGAAAAGTGCCGTTGCCAAAACGCTCTATTGAGCCGGCTAAATAATTATTTGAAGCGAGTGACTGGAGATGATTGCTTCCTTTGGCTGGCTAGCCCTAACCCTGGAGATAGTTTAATTGTGCTTAGAGATGGTGTAGTTCGTAGCATGCCGGATTCGAATCGATGTATGTACGGTGACTGTATCGCCGGATTGGTGATTCGCAGTCAATGTATGTGCAGTCGATCCTGTTGGTTTCCTATCAAGCTTCAAGGTCAGAAGACCCCCGTGGGAGAAAATCTGTTATATTCTCCGGAAAGATATATTTATCTGGTATCCTTTCATAATATCTCACTCGGATTTTCACTCCCCTAGTCTCTATACTTAGATCTCTTCCAGGGAGGAATACGCTTCCCTACTGATCTTTTGCACTTTGGGTACAGTCAGGAGGATCATAGTTGGCCTAAAATAAGATCATGTGCAGAAACTCATGGGATAGCTCTCAACATCTAGAGTGACAAAAGTAGAAACCTGAGTAGTATCGTGATAGGTACCCGGTGTAATAAAATTATGCTCGTATTATACCGGATCAATTCGCAACTGTAAATCTCAAGCCTTCGGTTCTTGAGACCCCACGATGGGTGGGATATCTATTAACAGATTCTGCTTAGGTATATTTATAATGGTCAAGTTGTAAATTGGTAGGTAGAATGTAGATAAAATGGTATCGCCTGGCGGGCCAAAACATGCTCAGAATCTGGTGCTCTGCATATTGTACAAACTCGGCGCTTGCCTTGCCATATAGGGTAATGATACAATTGAGATTTCAACAAGAAATTCTCATAAACAGTAATCTTCGGCGCCAAGTTACCGAGCCTGTACTCTAGAGCACCAGGTTCTGAGTAGGTCTCGGCCTACCAGGCGATAGTATAACGCAAGCCAGGTAAAGTATCATGCAAATCCAGGTAGTGTAGTGTAAGTTAGGTAAAGTATAACGTAGAGGCAATATTTATATGGAAAGAATGTGTAAGTCGGTAGGTGTAATGTATCCTGAGGTCTTGGTAAGTTGGTAAGTAAGGTAAAAGAAACCTCTAATTCTGTTTCTTTTTGCTAAAACGGTTTGTTTCAACAGATACCTCGGCCATCTAGACTGTTTTCATCAGCAGGTATGACTGCTATATTCCTATAAACGCCCTCCCGGTACCAAGAACTAGGCACTCCGGCGGTTCTGTTTGTATACAGGCGCTCTCTATTATTTATATATACCATAGCAATTATAATTTTCTACTGGTTAATGGAGATTGATAGAAATGCTTCTTGAAGAGGGCGAGGATGGTGAGGAGGGTGAGGAATATTATGCTGTTTATGATAGATGCCCTTCTCAAGTCTTTGTCCTGAGGGAAGAATCAAAAGCCGCACTAAGTGCTTGGGCCTGCGGGATAATTAGTCCCCGAGAGCCTCGTTCTTAATCAATTGAACCTCTCGATTGACAGCCACATTAAAGCCACGGGTAGAGGAAGTTGAAATGGAGTTCCAGGTAGGAATTGAAGGTCTAGGATATTAACCCATGAAAGTATAAAGCTGGAGTATAGTCATCCACGGCCAAACTCTAATAACCAGAAATCATATGTTTTCAGATACTCAATAGATGGACAGTTATTGATGATCTCCGGTTTCTATCTCCCTACGCTGGGAACGCTGGGAACGCTTGGCTACTACTTTTGGACAAGTTTTATCGAGAGCCAATAGAATTATTATGAGTGTAACGTGAAATATCTGATACCGCCTGGGTATATTGTGTATTTGGGAACGTGTTTGCAGCAAATATAGGTTAAACCATGTGCCTCTTTGTTGAAATATAATTCTAGCCGTAGTTATTCGGCGATAATTTTTACAGATGGCGCGCACGCACCCTCTATATCCAAAGATTGGCGAAAAAAGACGCGGTTGATAGATAGGCCGCTATAGTAACACATAACTAGGGGGTCCATCCACCTCGCGACCGCAAGTTGTTACTTTTGATATCCCCAGTTGGTCCCAGCTCCTCTGCCAGCTTCTTTGCCAGCCTCTTTGCCAGTCTCTTTGCCATCTCCTCTCACTGTTTCTCTTCCAGCTTTCTCCCAGCTCCCTTCCCATTTCCCTCTAATTCCCTCTCCCTCTACACTTACGGGGCCTTCGGCCCCCCCTCTATGTACGGCTTGCTCTCCTTAATTATTTGCGGTGTAGATACATGTAGACATGTCGATTCTGGTGGGGGGCTGGTTGCCATGGGGGTTAGGGTTCCTCGCTCTCGACCAATCATAAACCCTGCAGCGCGCGCGCAAATGGAGCTTTTACAGTACATATTAGATTGATTGATGCTATTATCAATCAAAATACGACGGAATCGGTAGATTGCCTAAGTGATAGCGATCACTCTCTGTACCATATTCCTATATGAACTGGATAATGCGTCAACGTCCTCAAGCTGAAGACTCATACATATGACCAGCTCCTCACAAATTGTTTTGACCAAATTTGTTTGTCCGAGGAGCTTCTTGGATAAGGCTAGAATAACGTTTGCGACTCATGCGGGGAGCCAAGCCTTGCGTAGGTGTGTAGAGTGAAGTATCGATCGACCACATATCTGGCAGCAGGTTTGGCGCGATAGATATCCCAAATATTATTCCTCACGCTGTGACCATATTATACCAGCGGGGATAATAGCCAATCGCGTAGTGAAAACAAGTGTAGCCCAACCTCGTTCCATGTACCCTTCATGAAAGATTCTAGATCCAGAGAAATGTATCTACTATATATGAAGTCTTTTGACTTCTCCCCTCTTATAAAGAGATAAGTGTTCTTCCTCTGCGCCAGTTGTCCGTACCAAGAAATTGTATTCGCGTCAGAAGCCTCAATTTGAGTCCCTAGGTATCAATTAGTCCATTGATACAAGGTGCCAAAATAACACAGTGAATTCCATTGTCATGTGATCATGTGATGCGATCCTAGAG